TTGAACCAAATTTACAAAGTTTTTTTTTTTTATAAATATTCCTTCAAATATTTTTTTTTCCTGGCACTTTCTCTGCATATTAGATTTCATTTCTTAAATTTTTTTTTTCAACGTTTATTTATTTTTGGGACAGAGAGAGACAGAGCATGAACGGGGGAGGGGCAGAGAGAGAGGGAGACACAGAATCAGAAACAGGCTCCAGGCTCTGAGCCATCAGCCCAGAGCCTGATGCAGGGCTCGAACTCACGCACCACGAGATCGTGACCTGGCTGAAGTCGGACGCTTAACCGACTGCGCCACCCAGGCACCCCTAGACTTCAAAACCACCCCATGCATCTTATGGTTTTGTTCTTTCCCCCTTAATCTCTTCTTTCTTTTCTAATGGTTCTGTCAATCTACGTGCAAGTTTATTTATTTCTCTACCATATCCATTCTGTTAATACTAAACCCATACAGTGGATTTTTAATTCCAGATATATTTTTCAATTCTAAAATTTCCACTTTTTGTGGATAATAATTCCCATTTTTCAGTTCATTACTAGCAATTTTGTTTAATTTCACTAGTTACAATAGCTCCTTAAAAGTCCTCATGTAATAATTCCATGATCCTGGGTTATCTCGGAGTTGGCATGTCCTGGACAATAAGTCACATTTTCCTGGCTTTTCATAGAATGAGTAATTTTGGCTTATATGATGGACATGGTGAAAATTATTCTACGGAGATTATGTTGTTTTGAAGAGTATTGATGTTTTTGTTTTGTGGGGTCATTTCTTCTATCAAACTATTACAGACTGTCATACTTCCTATGTGTGGTGCCTCAGGTCTCAGCTCTGTTCTTGAAGACTTATTTACAGTCTATTATCAGTTTATCATGATCATCATGGCTTCAGGAATGGGCTAGAGATTTAGGGTGAGTTTTTTTAAATATAGAATTCAGATCCTTTTCTGGCTGTCTCCTTTCTTGAGCTGGCCATTAACCTCCATGTGGTACTGACTGGCCAAGTGCTTTTCACCTTATTTTCTGGCCAAAAAAGTTTTTCTATCAGAGTAAAAAATTGGCAACTCAGCCCATGCTGGACCACTTGCTTCATGTTTTGACACCTCTCTAAATCTTGGCTCTTTAGAACCCTCACATAGTTGTTTTCTGTATTATGTGCAGAGTGTTAAGTGGTGATTGTGGGAATATCACTGCTAGGAACTTGCCTATCCAAGCAGGTATCAGAAACCCTCCAAAGTGATCTTTAATTTTGGAGGCTGTTTTATACATTTTCTCTTATCAGTTATGCCTTTGTCATAATATAATAAACTGATAAAAAAATCATTATTTTATTGAATGGAGGACATAAGCAAAACTTAATATTGTAATATTTAGCAAGGGAGATGAATTGCTTGCCACAAGAGATTATATGATAGTGATAATTAGGAAATGTCCAATAACAATTGGAAAATATCAAAACTGTTGAAATGTTGTGTAAGTTTATGTCAAAAAGTCACTGTATGTATGACTTCACAATCGTGTACACACTGAATAACCCCATCAAATGGAGCTGTATGATAAACTTAACTCACGGTAAATGTTTCTAGACTAGACAAAATTACAGTGAGATATTCTGTCTTACAAATCCAAAACCTAATGGTTTATTTAGTTAAAAAAATTTTTTTAATGTTTATTTGTTTTTGAAGGAGAGAGAGAGAGCACATGCAGGGGAGGGGCAGAGAGTGAGGGAGACAC